GGTTTGGATTATAGGCAAGTACCATGGCACCTGATTAAGGCTGAGTTTAATGACTTTATTACTAAATGGTCATACAGGTATGGTCAAATACAGTTCATTTCATTAAAATGCATTCAGCATTTCAGTAGAGAATTTTATAACAGAAAAAAAGAAAATTTATATATTTAACAAATTTTTATTTAACTTAGTTTTCTGAATTTAATACTTTTTTTAAAAATAGAAACTAGAATACAATGACATAAAGATCTGGGAAACTAGATCAATTAAGGTAGTTAATTGCCAAATGTCATGAAGTTTGAATGATGCAGTGAGCAAGAAGTTAAATAAACTCAGACTGATCCTCATGTTTGCTCTTTTATATATTTTTATTTGTTCTTTTTAGTTATAAATGACAGTAGATTCTATTTTGGCATATTTATACAAACATAGGGAATATCTTATTCTAATTAGGAGCCCAGTCTTGTGGATGTAGATGTTGTTGAGACTCACTGGAGTGTATTCATATATGTACATAGGAAAGTTAGGTCAGATTCATTCCATTGCCTTCCTAATCCTATCCTCTCTCCCTTCTCTTCGTTTCCCTTTGTCGTGTTTTATTTCAATACTAAATATGAGGCAAAGATAGATGTCTAAACTGTTTGATTCCTAAATTATTTATTTTTATTAAATTCCAATGTAAAGTCCATGTTTCATGAGAACGGTTTTAAATGATATCAAAAAACTGAAAGCAGAAATACAAGTTGTATAATTGATATTCTGGTATCTCATTTAATAGTTGTTAAGTAATTTTTACTTGATTAATAAAAAAGGTAAATGGATACAAATTGTATAATAATATTATAAATTTCACTATATCTATCAAAATATATTCCTGTATTTTAATATTTCATGGTGAGTATCCAATATAAAATATTGACTACAATAGACACATAAAAATATAGGACCTGGAGTTAAATAGTCTTTCATTTCTACAGTTCTAATTTTAAGGGTTTTTTATATGATTTAGGCCACTGACGTCTCTGGACCTTCTTCTGTAAAGAAGAATTGATAATACTGTTATTTTTAGGTAACAGTGTGTCATACAGATTATGGTATAAAAAACTTTTGTAAATATTCTGAAAAACCCGAAAAAGAAAAAAAAATTAATTTAAAGTACTTTTAATGTTTACTTATACTCAATTCCAATTTATTGAACACTTAAGCCACAATTAAGGCACAGTTAAATTACAAATGAAGAAATTTCTGTCTCTAAAATAAAAGGTCATTATACTACTATCATTTTATAGGTGGCTATAATTTTGAAAAATCAATGTTTTAAATAAAATTTTCATAACAATAAATTTGTGGAAGAAAAAAATAAAAATTTAGCTTTATATATATTATAGTCTACCCTATAGGATATGAGAAATATAATTTGAGTATATTTTTAAGCTATTTTTTTAAAATATAAAAACCACTTTTTATATTTTTTTCTTTATTAGAGCATTATAATTAAACAGTATTTTGGGTTCATTTTGTGAAAATCATTTCAATCAAATTCCTGCTACACGTTTCCTCTCTTTATCCCTCCCCCTATTCACCCTCATCTACTCTACTAAACTACTTTTTTTTCTACACATACATAAATGTGAAATTTTCTTTGGTACCTTTATATAGGAACATAATTTTGTTAAATTCATTCCATATTTCTCCTCCTTCTCTTTTCTTCTTCCCTCCCTCTCATTATCTTATTTCTACTCCATTGATTTTCTTTATATCTTTATGATATCCAATCCCCTTGCCATTTATCTTCTTTCCTTTATTTTGTGTTAGCTTCCACGTATAAGAAAAAAACACTCAATCCTTGATTTTCTGAGTCTGGCTTATTGTTCTTAGGATGATTTTTCTCCATTTACCCACAAAGGCATGATTTCATTTAGCATTATATGCTTCAGTTCTATCCATTTACCAGCAAATACTATACTTTCATTCTTTATGGTTGAGTAAAACTCCATTTTGTATATATACCACGTTCTCTTAATTTATTCATCTATTCACAGGTATCTGTCTGGTTGATTCCATAATTTGGCTATTGTTAATTGTACATCGAAGTGGCTACATTGCCACAGTATGATGATTTCAGATCTTTTGGATAAATATCTGAGAGTGGGATACATTATTCATATGGTAGTTCCATTCCTAGTTTTCTGAGGACTATCTACACTGCTTTCTAGAGTTGTTGCACTAACTTTCAGTTCATTCAACAATGAAAGAGTGTAGCTTTTTCACCACATTCTAGCTAGCATTTATTATTTTTATTGTTCTTGAAAATTGCCATTCTGAATGGAGTGAGATGAAATCTTAATGCAGTTTTGGTTTTCCTTTTCCTAATTGCTAGAGATGCTGAACATTTTTTCATATATTTCTTGGTCATTTTTGTTTCTTCTTTTGAGAAGATTCTGTTCGTTATTTTGCCCATTTATTAAATTGTACTGTTTTTTTCATAGTGAGTTTTCTTTTACATTCTTTATATATTTGAGTATTAATCTCCTAACTGAGGAGTAGATGACAAAGATTTTCTCCCATTCCCAAAGTTCTGTGTTCACTCTTTTAATTGTTTCCTTTGACGTGCAGAAACTTTATACTTTGATGCCATTCTATTTATTGATTCTTTATTTTATTTCTTGAGCTTAGGAAATCTTGTTAAGGAAGTCGGTGAATATACCTATATGATGGAGAGTTGACCCTATGTGTTCTGCCAGCAGTTTCAAAGTTTCTCATTTATTTCTACATCTTTGATCCCTTTTGATTAGACTTTGGGGAGAGGTGGAAAATAATGATCAAAATTCATTAGTACATGTGGATATCCAGTATTTCCTTCACCAATTATTAAAAATGCTGTCTGTTTTCAATATATTCTTGGCACCTTTGTCAAGTATCAGATGGCTGTGAAAATTTGAGTTTGTCTCTGTGTCTTCCATTCCTTTTCATTGATCTTCATATCTATTTTGATGCCAATATCATGTTGTTTTTGTTACTACAGTTCTGTAATATAATTTGAGAGAGGATTTTGTGGTGCCTCCTTTTACTCTTTTCTTTTTCAGAATTGCTTTATCTATTCGGAATCTCTTATTCTTTCATATGAATTTTAGGAATGAAAGACATATTTTTAAACAGTTTATATATATATATATATATATATATATATATATATAGAGAGAGAGAGAGAGAGAGAGAGAGAGAGAGAGAGAGACTTATTTGATGCTTAGACTTATTTGATGCTTACCTCTTTCGTCTGCAATGACACAGATAAATACACTTTTACATAAATATAAAATTCAAATAACCTTCAAAATTTTATTTCCAATATAAAAACATTTATGTTTCTCTAGAAAAGAATGAAAGTTTTTTTTATCATCAATATTCCTTTACTATAAGATGCTTTACACAGTCAGTTTTCTAAAGATAGAAATGAAGCAGATCAATATATTTAATTCTAAAAAGGTCACAAATAAAATTTTATCATTTGAAAACTAACCAGCCAAATCTAAAATATTTTGAAAATATTTTAGCTTTACATGTAATCAAACATATTTCTTATCTGAATTATATTCATTAGTAAACAATAGATGCAGAATACAATCATTTCTATTTGGAAGTGGATAATAAGCCAGGCCAGCAAGTCAAAAACAGCAATATTATTTTTTAACTCAAAGAATGTTTAAAGTATTAATGAGTTATATTTATTTCCTGGAAAAAGTAAAATAAATGTGGATATGAAACTCCTTCTGCAAGAAAAATGTATTCAAATGCAAATGGTAGATTAAGGATAGAAACATTTCTTCTGATTTTGAGTCACTAGTTCTTTAGTCATTATTAAAATAAGCAATCTAAATTTGAAAATAAGACACAGAAAAATGTTGTTATATATATTTTATGAGTCATTTTCTTAAAACCCAAATTTATATATCTACCTGTATCTTTCATTTCTGTTCCATATCAGTGATATAAAGAGCTTGCCATTATGATGGTTGCTAATTAATATATTTCATTACTCAAAGGAATAATCACAATTTTATAATGTATAAATAATTTTTAACATATATATATGTTAATAATTTTGAGTGTCTATAAAATTATCTTACATTATCATATTTTTTTTAGATAACACACTATCAAGTGTTTATATTGTTATATTTGTATGGTCCTCCCTTGTATTCAAGTACAGACATGTAAGGATTTATTTTACTACTAGCTTCCTCCTTATCATTTCCATTTTGTCAGTCAGCATAATCCTTTCTATTCCCAGTCCTCTGTTTGTGAATATTTTATGCATATCATTGGGAATTTCCTGCAGCCATATGTTTTGGAAAATTGACACTCCTTCTCTATGAGTTTTCATGATATGATCTTTCATGGCCGTTAGTACCATGACTTGGTAAAAATAGCCTCTAATCGAATCTGTTTGTTAAAATTGAAAAATACAAACAAACCATTTATTCTAAAATGATGATTTTTAAAATATTCATCAGTATTTTAAAATACATTATCTGTCAAAGTGCTTAGAGCCATTCCTTTGTAAGTTTAAGTCTTAAAACTAAAATATTTCCATAAAGAACATTTATGTAACATCTCTCTTACAGGATCTTTGACTATATTTTCCTTTTAACATCATAATGATCTATAATGACATTGACTTTCTGATAAATTTCAGTTTGGAATATGATAATATTCATAATCTTCCCCACAGGGAATCTAGAAGTATATTGAAAAGAGTTACTTCGAATTTTTTTTTAAGAAAAGAAAGTTTGAAAAAATTTAAGTCATTAACTTGTCATGCTTAAAATATGGTTTGAAAGCCAGATAATAGGTCCTAACAATCATGAAGTTGAAGTCTGCCAGTTACTATCACTTTTTTCCTCTTTATTTGAATATATACCTTGGTTAGGATTAATTTTTAAACTGGTTGTTTAGGCTTTTTAATTAGGATATTTAATGAAATTGTTTTCTTTATTTTTAAGACACACTTTTTAATGGTCTTGGACTTGGAGCAGTCATTGGCCTAGGAGTTGCTGCACTTTTGCTAATACTTGTGGTAACAGATGTCAGCTGCTTCTTTATTCGACAATGTGGGCTACTGATGTGCATCACCAGGAGAATGTGTGGGAAGAAAAGTGGCTCCAGTGGCAAAAGTAAAGAACTGGAAGAAGGGAAAGCTGCATATCTGTGAGTATAAGGCATCTGTAACATGTCACTTTAACCAAATACCACAGTTAAACCTGAGTGCTTTAGCTGGGGACTTGGATTTCCAAGGGGAGATTAACTGTAAAGACTCTGAGCACTTCACTGCCTAGTCTATGAATTAAGTCTCTATTGCCTTCAGTGTAACACCCTGAAGAGCCAAATGGCTTTGAGAACCCTCTACTTAAAAAATAATCTCAAAATGGGATCCTCAATTAAAAGAATCATTGTCATGATTTAATGATGATAAATGGATGGATATAAAGATAGTCATACAAAGGTATTTGTTTGTGATTCTCCCATTTTCAGTTCATGTTGAATAAAATAAAGGCGTCAAAAGTAATCGGAATTATTAATAACATAAAATTGTGGCATCTCCTATAAGTGTATCAAGTGACTACATAAAGATTACAAGATTTTATTTTGTATAGACCATGTTCTATGCAATACATACTATTAAAGACTGAATTTACGCTTCCAAATTTTAATTAAAACATGACTACATGTTAGAATTTTGAGATGTTTGTGAAGCTTCCTTTATTTAAATGGAATAGAAATTCTAAGAAAATTTAGCTGAACATTGTAGAAAATACTTTTTGCTGTGATTTAATACTTTTTATGCATATATCATGTCTTTTAAAATTTGTATGTAATCTCAAAATGTTTGATGTAGAAAGTTCAGAAAGCACATAAAAACGTGTGTGTGTGTGTGTGTGTGTGTCTGTGTGTATACATGCCTGAATACACATGTGTGCCTGATACATATGTGTGAATCAAACCTGAGAACCAAAAATGAGCACTCTACAGGGTGCAGGGAATCTAAATTATTAGCCATTTTAATCTTAAAATCTTTCTATTGAATACATTTTTAACATTTCAGTATGGAATTTTTCAACCATAGAGAAAGGATTTTTTTTTTAATTTAATTTTATTTTTTTATTAGTTGTTTAAAACATTACAAAGCTCTTGACATATCATATTTTATACATTTGATTCAAGTGGGTTATGAACTCCCAATTTTACCCCGTATACAGATTGCAGAATCACATCGGTTACACATTCACGTTTATACATACTGCCATACTAGTGTCTGTTGTATTTTGCTGCCTTTCCTATCCCCTACTATCCCCCCTCCTCTCCCCTCCCCTCCCATCTTCTCTCTCTACCCCATCTACTGTAATTCATTTCTCTCTCTCTTTTTGTTTTCCCTTTTCCCATACCTCCTCTTAAATGTAATTTTGTATAACAATGAGGGTCTCCTTCCATTTTCATGCAATTTCCCTTCTCTCTCCCTTTCCCTTCCACCTCTAGTCGCTATTTAATGGTAATCTTCTTCTCATGCTCTTCCTCCGTACTTGGTTTTGAGTTGCCCTCCTTATATCAAAGAAGACATTCGGCATTTGTTTTTTAGAGAGAGGAATTTTACAACAAATAAGCACGTATTTTCCAACCGGTTGGTTTTTACAATTAAAATTTTATTTTATTTCCTTTATAACACATATACACATCACACTGCATTATATTTTTAAATTTCAAAAAGTCAGTATAGATAGCCATCACATAAGGATTCCATATCATTACATGAAGTTCAAAATTTCTAATGTTTTCTTTAAATAAAGCTGCATACATTGAAATACTCAAATGCTCTATTTGATGAGTCCTGACAGATGCTTACATCCGTGTAATGCAAAACTCTTCAAAATTCATAAACTTTTAAATGTTTTAGTAATACATTACAGCTATGCATAACCTCATAACCTCAATCGTCATTTGTCAAATGTTCTTTTATGTTACTATCTAGTAAACCCACCCCATCTTCCCTAAATTTCAGTGTACTACTGTTCTGATGGTTTTTACCACATATAATTTTTACCTGATAATGAGCTTCATGTAAATGAACTTACTTCAATGTGTACTATTTTTTTAAAATATGGTATCCTTCATTCATCATGTTTTAAGATTTATTCATTTTCTAAATATCAAGATTTAATTCCTTTTCATTGTGGACTAATTACTATTATTTTTTCTTATGCATGTATTTATCTATGTCAGGAGTCACCCTATTTTATAGCTTGATTTTCTTGCTTTTGTTTTTATTGTTTTGGTACTGGGATTGACTAACTCAGGGAATTTATCACTTAGCTACCACCCCAGCTGAACAACTCAGGGGTTTTATCACTGAGCTATATCCCAGCACTATCCCTGCCTCTCTTTTAATGAGTTGGGGTCTCCCACTTTTGCTGAGGATCTCTCTAAGTAGCTGAGGCTGACATCAAACTTGGGATTCTTCTGCCTCATCCTCTTGGCTAAAACAGTTTTTATTAACTGAATAGATACAACAAAATAGAAAAGATATCATATATAGTAGATTTACAAAAATACAATAGGCTCAATGCAAGAAGTTCAGAAAGCACATAGTCTGCTAATGTTCTCTTTTAATGTTTTTATTCTTACAGAAGCAAATTATTATTTAAAGTATAGTCATCATAAGCACAGAGCTTAAAAATTACTAAAAAAAATTGAACATGCTGTGTTCAAGGATCATATCAAGAAAAATAATTTTACCATTTAAAGCTCCTTTCCCTTTCCTTTTCAATCTCAAACTAAACAATAATGTGATGTTTAACACTATAGCTTATGTTTGTGTATTATAAAAACTGTTGATACATCTTCTTTTCCTATTAGTCCATTCCATTTAGTTGATTCCATTCTAGAATCAATCCATGCTATTTTTTATTGGCAGATAATCTTCATTCAAGTCTCTGTGTAATAACTCATGATATAAATATACTAAAATTTCTTTCCCCATTCAGTTATTGATATGGATTTTGGTAGTTTCCAAAATGTATATGATTTTAGTATTTAACCTAGTGTGGAATTTCTGGGATATACACCACATGTACATGTATTCTGCTTTTGTAGGGTATCTAAATGATGTTCCAAGGTATTGTCAGTTCTAACTACTCCAGAGTGAGAATTTTGGTTGATTGGCACTATAGTAGTCTTTTTCATATTTTTGTTTCTTTGATTCTACTGGGTATGTAGTAGTTGGTCATATTGATTTAAATTGACAATATGTATGCACTAGTAAAATTGACTTTTCCTTTTTAAATATTTGGATATGATCTTTTATTGAGGTCTTCATTCAAGTATTTAAGTCATTGTACATTAGGCTGTTTTCTTTCCTATCTGCTATGTAGCTGTTCTTCAATATGGTACACTTTGTATACATGGCCCTGTGTGTGTGTGTTTGTGTGTGTGTATGTGTTTGTGTGTATGTGATTATTTTAAATTCATCAATATATATCATTCATTATATCCTATATGAATATCATAATGCTCATATTATAAATTTTGTATAGTTAATATAATTAGATATGATCTCATTCAATGCTGTGATATCTTTTGACAGGTCAAAATGTTGCTTCTTTTGAAGAGAAGTGTTTAATTTCAGTGTAATACAATATTTAATTTCCACTTTTAAGTTCTATTTTACAAATCTATGACTATACCAAGTCACTAAGGCACTTTTTCTTTCTTTTTTTTAAATTTATATATGACAGTGGAATGGGTTATAATTCTTATTACATATATAGAGCACAAATTTTCATATCTCTAGTTGTATACATAGTATATTCACACCAATTCATGTCTTCATACATAGACTTTGGAAAATTTTTAATGATAATCTTTGCATTTTTTTTTTACACATTTAGAACTGCAGTCCACCTGAGGTTGGAGTCCAGGCACTTTTCAGTTGGCTTTTTTAAGACCTTAGTTTTGACAATAGAAGCATTGACTGAAAATGGCATGCTTTATTCAATGTCAGCAGTGTCATTTTTGTCATATCTCAGATGGGCCACAAAGGAAAGAATAGGTCTGTTTCTATGTTTGCTTTCTGTTGCTTTGCTGACTTTATCCTTTCACCAATACTGAGCTATTAACACTAAAGCTTTAAAATTCTCCCTGATAGCTAATAGCATGCATCCTCTGCCTTTGTTGGACTTTAAGATTATTTTGCTATTCTCAAATCTTGCCTTTCTATTTAAATCATCTTGTAATTACTACACACACACACACACACATGCACACGCACATGCACACACACACACATACACATACACAAAATCTACTAAAATTTTCATTGGGGCTGTAGTGATTTATTTATTTATTACCCAGATTTATTGGGGTATGGTCAATATTGTTGCAATATAAAGTATTTCAAGCTGCAAAACAATAAAGTATATGACTTTAAAAAAATCCAGGTTTCTTATGCAGTGAATTTCAAAACTAACTTTATTATTTCACATTTAGGCCTTTAGGCAGCTGCATACATCCAGGTAAATGGTGTTCTGAACAAATCCAGACATGTGGATTACAGTGCCAGGGTGACCCTTAGCTTGTGCAGTAACTCTGTGCAAACCTTAAGGACAACCTCTCACTCCAATGAAGAGTTATTCATTAGAATGCTATATTTACTGAATTATTAATTTTACAATATAAAAATCAGGGGGAAAACATTCTTTCAGGTGCAACAGTAATATGTAGGTCTTGAGGTGCAAAACAGTTTGCTCTCTTCAAGGACAAATGAACATGAGTGATGTACAGCTGAGACAGATTGGTACAAATGTCATATGGAGAATAATTTAAGGGCTCAAAATTGTCTTTGGTCAAAGTAAGGAATCTAAATTTTACTTGAACTAGAAAACTACCAGAAGGTTTTTATAAAAATTACTTTAGCTACTGTAGAAGAATGGATTACTAAGCATTGAAGGTTTAGAGGACATACTTGGGACAGGGATATCTTGCAATACTCTAGAAGAAATCTTTTTTTTTTTTTTTTCTGATTTGAGGTATCATTATTACATATATAAACCAGTATATATATATATTCTAGATAGCATTCAAGTCATGTCAACTATTTGTTGATTGATTCTAATTTAAGGCAAAGGGAAGAAAGAAGTCAAAAAATGCTTTCATGTTTT